CGAAATCCCATAACTATTCAACAGAGTCCTGGCAGAAAAAACAGCAAACAGCTTGGTTGCTACCTGCGTGATCGAAGCAATCGACCTCACTTCTGAAGAGTATTCGAATATTGCCAAGCTTTCGCCTTATCATCACAAAAAACTTCTCCACACTAGATACTGGTGGTAAATACTGCAACAAAATAGCAAAGTTAAATGCCGGAGATTCTTCTGTTCAGAATTTTTCGGTATAATATTGCTCTGGATCGCTTCCACGAACCGTTTCGTTAATTCCGGAGGTCATGTATTGCTCAAATTTGAGCCCTTGGTAGTTTGCAATGCTGTTTTCACAGAGTTTGAAGGCTGGTTTGACTACACAGAGGAAATGTACATTCTGATATTTGATGACTCCAAATTTCCAAGCAGCGTGCTTATAATTCACAGTGTTCCCAATCATCTTCAGCAAGCTTCTGCGACAAAAAAAATCCGCATCCAACTGATCCTGAACGAAAACTTATCATGCAATGTATGGTAGGAAGCGAAGGGAGAGAGACAAGGGATCGCCTACAGCCGTAGTAGGATCGCTTGGGAAGTTAACTGTGCAACTAAATGGTACTTGCATGGGGACATGCCTTAAAAATTTCAACTTTTCTGCTTCAAGATTTAACAAATTTTCTACAACTGAGAGCAAGTAATAATGCTCCTCGCGCTTCGAGAACGATCCGTAGATCGAGCTTGTCCAGAGTGTGGATCGGTCGTGCGAGTTTAGGGAATGTATTGTGGATCGCCGTAGCCGCGTAAGCCGGTGCAGTGTAGACCGGCACAGCCTGGGATTGCCAGGTATCAGGCTCAACGGCAACCAAAGTACGAAGGGAGCAGCATGCTCCTGCTGACCGTGAAACCTCGGTCAGCAACAGCCGAAGAACTCAAGACCCAGGAGCTCCCTAAAACATTATGAACATCTGATCATTTTCATTGTTCTAATAAGCCGAACTCAGCTTCTGTCGCAAAGGACACAATACTACCAAAAACTTTCATGGTCCCATAAGTGAAGACTACGCATACCTGCGGGCTGAATTTGAAATTTTTAAGTTGTGTCTAGACTGGGAACATCCCCGTAAAATTCCAACCTTCCGGCTTTTCTCGTCCCCGAGCTATCGATGCCCCCACCAAACATTTCACGTGCTCGTGCGCGGGGCGCAGACATGCTTGAAGGCTAGAGTTGTGGTCCTGCAGTGACACTTGGCTGCGGACCACTAAAATTTTGGTGCCGGAAACTGCTTGGCTGTCGAGCTGAAATACCAGAACAGACTCACACACATGCACACATATGTGCAAGCATACCATGGGCCGTCACAATATGCGTTTTTGCATTTGCATAAAACTCATAAAAGCGGACAA